CTCATTTATTACATTACCGACTATATCACCAAGGCGTCCCTGCCTGCGCACCTGGGTCTGACGGCGCTGATGTACGCCATCGAAACTACGTCAGCAAAGTATGGGAAAGTCTCACCTCTCCACTGGACCCCTCGCGAAGACACAGGAGCGCTGACCGTGTTGGTGAACAGTATCCTCGGCCGCACCGAGATATCTCATCAACAGGTGATGAGCTACCTCGTCGGTGGTGGGGACCATTACACCAACCACCGCTTCCGCTTGCTGTACTACGCCGCTTTCGACCGAATAGTTCGCCGTTTCTGGGGCGAGATGCCCGACCAGGCCATCATGAACGATCAAGACGACAGAGGCGAGTCCCCGACAGACCTTCCTCACGCGTCTACGTCTGAGCAGCCTAACCATGGAAGCGCTGCGGGCCCCGTCAGTCGAGAGCGGACGTCAGAACATGACGATGACGAGGATACGATCACGCTGACATTGGCAAACGGCTCTATATCCGCCGTCAACCAACAACACGACTACCTGCTGCGCCCCTCCAGCGAACCGTTCCACTCCATGCCTCTCTACCAGTTTGTCGGACTGACCGAGAAGATTACGTGCGCGTCTGATGACAACCGTCTACGCAGACGAACCCAACCCAGACCCGGCAGCGCCCCTCGCGGACGTCCGCAAGAACAAAGGGGAACATTTAGGATTGAACACCCACAATCTGACACTCATCTCCTCCGGAAACGTGTCGTCTGGATGATACCTGTCATCCTGGGTCCGCATGTACCACGTAATGACAGGACCGCGGAGGAGCTTGACGACTGGTCACGAATCATTCTGCTCTTATTTCTTCCATGGCGTACCCCTTCCGATTTGAGGCGAATCGATGAATCTTGGACGGACGCATACAGCAGGCAGCAGCATCTGTTTCCCGCTGAGCACCGCACTATCATCCACAACATGACCGTCCTTGCCGAGTGTCGAGACGCACGAGACAAGGTGCGGCTCAACCGTCGCCACCAGCCTGCAGGTACCATCCCACCCGTCGACATTCCCGCTCGTGCTTTCCAACCTGACGAGAGCATCGAAGAGAACGACGAGGATGACATGCAATTCTCTGGTCTTGCGTCTGCTGAGCTTGGCACGTCCGGTGTCGACGTCCCTAAACTGTCCCTTTTAGACGTTATTGATGGCCTCATATCCGTTCCGGCACGGCATGCGATTGACCGGTGCTTCTCTGCTATGACTCCCTTTGATCCCAACATCTCCTACGGTGCGGCGCAGAAGATCACGCCTGCGCTGTTCAACGCTGTCAACAACGAACACACATACATGCGCGAACTCAAACGCAAGCGTCGTCCCGAGCCGGCGGCGGTTCTGCGGCCGACTACGTTCCCGCCAATCCCTGGCCGCGACATACCATCTGAGGTCACTACGATGTCTCTACGCCAAACGTCCGCCTCTCATGAGAACCACTCCCAGGCTGCCTTTATTGCCGCGCCCCCTCCTGACGATTTTCGGGGGATAATTGACCAGGTCGTGCTTGAATTCCATCTACACCATAACATCGAACAGCTCCGCGCATTCGAGATCGCGGCCGAGAGTATCTGCTATGAAGGCCCGCAACTACTGATGTACGTCGGTGGTGTCGGGGGCACTGGAAAGTCATACGTAGTCAACGCTATACTCCGACTTTTTGCCCTCCTGGGACGACGCAACGAGGTTCTGGTTTCGGCGCCCACCGGTGCGGCTGCGATCCTCATCGGAGGGTACACCATTCACTCGCTTCTCATGCTACCGAAAAAAAAGCACACCAACTTAGAATCTCTTTCTCCCATTTGGAGAGATGTGAAGTATCTCATTCTTGACGAAGTGTCCATGGTCAGCGCCACTCTTATGCACGATATTTCAGAAAGGATGCAACACGCGAAAGGGGCATCCGCTGATTCGGAGGACCACCCATTCGGAGGCGTGAACGTTATATTCCTCGGGGACTTCGGACAACTGCGACCTGTACAGGGGATTCCCCTCTACAGCCGTAGGTTTGGCGAGGAGCCTACTATCCAAGATACACAGAGCAAAGCAGCTATCGTCGCAATCAAAGGCATTTACTTATGGAGGATGGTACACACTGTCGTACTTTTACGCAAAAATCATCGCCAGGGCAACGACGGCAACTACTGCAATCTGCTTAGTCGAGTTAGAGCAGGGCAAAGCGGCAACGCACAGCGCGCGCGCACTGCATTCGACTTTCGCACCTTGCAAGGCCGCCTCATTCAGAACTTCGACGCCCCTACGCTGACGCGTTTCGTAGGCGCACCTATCATTGTAGGTAGGAAGATCTACAGAGACGCGCTGAACTATCGCATACTACAGCATCATGCCACTAGCATCCAGGCAGACGTCCACGTGTACTACTCCCTAGACAGGGTCGCAGGGGAGCAACTTCAAGGAACCGCCCAAGAGGCTGTCTGGGACTTGTCTACAACCTGCACGCATGATGCTCTCGGACGGCTGCCCCTATTTCCCGGCATGCGCGTCATGGTACAGGAGAACATAGCGTTCACGCATAACGTAGTCAATGGCGCCGTCGGCGCCGTACGCGACATCCGCTACCACGAAATTGGAGGACGACGGCTCGTTACTGTAGTCTACGTCGAAATACCAGGCGCAGGACGTCTCCTCGGGCAAGAGCGTGACGATGTCATCCCCATCTTCCCCATCACTACGTATTTCGATTGGACCCCCCCCGGACAGGAGGATTCTGTCAGCGTCTCCCGCACTCAACCTCCCATTCTCCCAGCCTACGTATACACCGATTACAAATCCCAAGGCAGATCGTTGGACACCGCTATTATCGACCTCGACAGCGCGATGTCGGTTCAAGGTGCATATGTCATGCTGTCTCGTGTTCGCTCGCTAGACGGTGTTGCAATATTGAGACGTTTCAGGCCATCGAGAGTGGAAGACCGACTCAACCCGGACATTCGTGCAGAGTTTGACCGGCTCGAGCACCGAGATGCCGACACTGCCGCAGCCCATCCTACTCACCCAAACTACTATCATGCATACACCGGCTAAGTGTGTCTTACCCACCGTATCTCAGCAGTAACGTCTAGTAGTGGTCCTTGCGTTTCCATCCCTCCTGCGCGACGAACCGACACCGGCCCGTCGGGCCAGACACGCCCACATAATCGTCATTACTTGGCCGCAGCACACGGCTTCGATGTTAGGACACCGTAGTCGCGCGGCTGCGATCTTGGACACTGCCGCGTCGTTGCTTCGGTATGAAAGAGCCTACACCGGTGGGTGCTGCGGCTGAAACTGACTCACGGCACCCGCACGCCTCACTTTTTCACTGGCAGCTGCCGCAGCCATGGCCGCCTCACCCGAGCAAATAAGTATACCCTTCGCCGTCAACGCAATAGATCCACTGGTGCACTCTTAGCACTGTCCAACACGGTACCTCTCGACCTGAAAACATACCACCCCGAGATGCAGTCCGCGGTCGAAGCCGTCTGTACCCAGAACATCGACCTTACTGCATTCCCCGCGCTCCTTCGATTTGCGCAGTTCGAGAAGTTGGATGACGCGGTTAAATGGCTTAAAGACTTCAGCGAGGTACGCCGCCAGCACTGCAAACCATGCGTCAAAGCTCGCCGAAAATGCATTCTGCACAACGGGAGCTCGGTCTGCTGCCGTCCTTGCTTCACGTTGGAGACCAAGGAAGAGTGTACGCATCAAACCGGTAAGTGTACGATTATATGTTACGACTGCCACTGACTTCGAGACGCGACTTAGAGATGGTGCAGCGTGACCATTCCGCTGCTGTTTCTTGCCATCCATACAGCGAGGCCAGCGAGCAGGGGCTCACTACTGTACCCGACTTGTTCGAGTGGAAATCCAAGCGGGACCACCGGAAGCCGAAGAAAGCGTTGCGCAACAGCATCAGTTGCGGGGCAGAGTACGTCCACGACGAGAAGGAAGACACCGACGAGGGCGGGCGGCTGAGCCATGTGAACGCGGATGACGCCGCCGATCACAGCGATCAGGTCGACAATGCGAATGCCACGACGACGCAACCAGGCGTCGCGACAGAGGCGAAGGGGACACAGCGAGGCGGCGGCGTTACTCCAGTTACGCAGTCTTCCGCCCAAGTCGCGGTCCTTGGGTCGCGCGGGCTGGCAGCAAGGAGGTCCAGCAGCTGCATTCCGGCAATGAGCCGTCGGTCGTCGCACGTCGGAAGGGAAGGAAAGTGACAAAGGCCGCCACCGGCCTGAAGATCTCCTCGCGCAAGGAGACGACCGACGGCGACACCGCGATCCTGAAGGACATCCCATCGCTACTTCGACACCTGGTTCAGAGCGGCGATAGGACCCTCCAGAACAGCGATGATCTACTCCGTCTGAAGCGACGGCGTTACCAGCTCTCCTCCGACTCCGAGAGTGAGGACAAGGACAAACGTGAGTACGCGCGACGGTATATTTGTTCCGTCGCTAACCGTCCGCGTAGGTCCTCGCACAGACGTTCCCGCTGCCGCTCGACAGTCCGATTTCACCCCGCATACGGGACTGCATAAAAATGATGTTGCAGGACCATCTCGACCTGCGGTCCGCAAGGATGCCGTTGCAGAGCCGCCCCGGCGTGCGCCCTAACCGGGCCTGGCAGACGGATGCTGTCTTTCTTTTTCTCCCTCCGTGCTACTTAATCTGTATTGTCTCGATGGGCTTGCCGTCGTTGTATTGTCGTAACTGAACCGTCTACTTACTTGGAGCGACTGGAGCGACGTGACTGTCGCATCAGTCGTGACCTGTCGTGACGTACCCTGCGGTCATTACTGGCCGCGCGTTTAGATCTTCCCGGACAACCGGCGTGGCCAGGTATGCCCGGAGGGGCCGTGACTATACATATCGCAAGCTACGATATACCTGAGCCTCTCAGGCCTCAGGTTGAGTCGGTAATGAATGTGTTGTAAGTTGATTGATGACGTAATATATTAAAGCAACAGTAACTCCCGCTTAGCTCAGTGGTAGAGCGCATCACTAGTACCTTCGCAAGGGTATGATGAGGTCAGTCGTTCAAGTCGGCTAGTGGGAATGGTTGTACTCCACTTCTTTTTGTCCAGCGGAAAAGCTGGTAAATTTAAACGTCGCTGCGCTAGAACTCTACGTGGAGAGTCCTTATGTCCCTCCCCCTCGTTTATGTACTCCTGTATATTCCCTTATCTCTTAGCCTGGATGATCTACCTACTATCGTACTCGTACATGGTTCGTTCTAGGTCGTTCTGCTTGGCTTCAACACGCAACGCCATATACGCCTACCGGAGACATGAAGACGTGCTGGGGCGAGGCGGGGCGATCGTCGACTAAGCACACATGATGCGAGATGAAAAACATCACACCTGTGGAGGCAACTCAAGCGAAGAGATAGTCATAAAACGACCTCCGTCCATTCACCTGCGGCCGCACAGAAGCATGCTCCGCGCGCTGCCGTGGCCGGGTAGGTGCCCTCCTCGACGGTGACGGCGACGGTGACGACGCAGACCGCCGCTGGCGTTCCAGTAGGCGCGACCTCAAGGCATCCGGGCCCTGTCGTCTCCTCGCACCGATAGCCACGGGTGTCCGCTCGATGTCGCCGCCGGCGTCGCTGAGCGAAAGCGATGCGACGCTGCCCGCGAGGTCGTCCTCGGAAGCAGACAGATCCCCCTCGACGTCGACATCCGACTCGCCAAGCACAGACCACGCGTCGGACTCAAGGCCGGACGCGGACGCGGGAGGGATTGCGCGCGTCACGTAGACTGCGCCCATCGCTGGGGACGAGGGCGCGGATGCATCTGAGGCGGCTTCGACAATCGCTGTCATGCGCGCATTAGGGTTGGGGCCCTCGACGTCGGATAAGTCCCTGTCAGAGACGAGCTCAGACTCGGTGTCGAAGTCGGTGGCGGAGAGCTCGGAGAGGTCGGTGACGGGCGGAGTGTCGAGCGTTGGGACTACGCTGTGGGTCGGGCGGGTGACATTAGGACGGAGGAGGTAGGTGAGTCGTTGACCTGATGTATCCTTGCCTGCGGGGTATGGATCAGTGCGGTGTAGCCAAGGAAATTACCAGCAAGACGTACTGAAGCTGACGACGTCATGATAGCGCGCACAGCAGTGGACGACGTAGCGGGTGAACGCGTCGTCTGCGATGCTCCAGACGAGCTGGAGAGGACTGCGGGAGACTTCGTTGATAGCGCCAGAGGTGCCGATAGGCATTCCAGGCAGGTCAAAGGATGCTACGGAGTCTGGAGAAAGCATGACGCCGCCTGCCGTGAGCCAGTCGACGATCTCCTCCTCGACCTCCTTGACGAGGACCTCCGTGCGCGGTCCCGATTTGCGCAGTTCGCGCCGCATGCCCTTCAAGCTCATCGAGAACCTCCCGGCGTTCGCGGACATGGGCTCCCGTGCAGCAGGGACTGCAGGGGGTATGGGGTTGTTGCGCGATAAGTACTGGGGCAGCGGCTCGGGGAATGTGGTCCGGCCGCTAGGGGCGGGGATGCTGAAGTCCTTCCTGGATGGCGCAACGATGTGCGCGTTGCCGACAAAACGGGCTGTCGTACATTCGCATGAGCGCAACTGGCCGCACAAAGCGTTACGTACCGTTCTCCTTTCGCCGAACCCACCGCTTGCCTTCCTTCTCGTCCCGTCGGTTTCGCTTGACCGCGGCTGGAGAGGGTGTCGCCGAAGACTGAGTGCGGACGCGCAGATGCGCGAACCGGTCTGAAAGTCCTGGGTTCCGCAAGATTGCTGGGAAGGACATGGGCAGCGGTCCATTGTCCCTGACTGCCTGAGGAACGATAGCGTGTGTTTGCTCAACGACGAGGGACTCCATGGTGATGGGTAGGATAGACGACGTGCCAGCTGCTCAGCGAGCTCAGAAACAAGAACAGAGCTCGAGTTGTACGAGAAAAGCGGACCCGAGTCACTTCGCCGTCGTCGACGGAGCCGGTCAAGACGTCGGGAGGGCGCAGCGCCCATGCAATAACCCGCGCCACCACGCCGAACCGAAATCTGGTCCCAAGAACCGCCAAAGCTGCGCTACATTATCATTACTGAGGCCTGACGATTGCAACTCCAGGCTTACAACATGTGAGGGTACAGGTAAGTACGTATTGAGATCGGTACTGTTGACTGACCATACATCAACTGTATGCCACGGTAGAGTAAGCGAAACCTCACTCAAGGGAACAGTAACGATGTAGGATGAAGTAGAGGCACAACAACGCAAGGAGAATGATCTCGATTGGGACGAGACTAAGTACGATGTTGTATGACATGAATTCGTTTGACTTCCTTGGTGAACTGAGCTAGCGTCATAGGGCCCACTGGCTTGTCCGTAGCGTCGATCTCCCACCACGAAGCGGGCTCCTCCGAAATCATCGCGGCGGCGAAGTCCCGTTCGTCTGGGCGGATGGACTCAGAGTCCTTACCTGGGTCATAGGAGTACATTGCAAACTTCGCTCCGAAGGCCGACAGTCCGTGGACGAAGGACCCACGCCTGCTATTCTGACGCAGGAGCTCTCGCATATGCTCGTCTGCGCGGCGACGCTTGACAGGATCGGAGAGGGCCGCGGGTGGTGCGATGCGTAAGACGAGGAGGCCGCCGGGGTCATTGTGGCTGACCACGTACACCGCAGCGACATCGCCAATGTTCTCCCTGACGTCTTTGTATCCGAAGTTCCGCACAAAGCCGTCGTCTTCGGTGAATAATTCCCCATCAATGAGGGTGGTCCAAGCCCAGCAGGTTGGCATGAGTTCCGATGGTTGTTCAAGCGCCTCGTAGAAGCGTGGCTCCAAGTAAGCGAGTCACCGAGCTTCCTATGTACATATGACACAGCGTCAGCAACCGCGAGAGATTGCGCGAGACAGCGGCAACTGGACATACCATGCAAAGATGGCAGGGAACATCCTGCAAGAGCATAAGTCGGACGGAATGGATAGTTGCAGCGCGTAGGTAGCCTGGCCGAGGTGGTAGTCGTAGTAGAACTGCGGTACCCCTATACAATCAATTCAGCCTCTACCCGAACAGTCAATTATCTTTCGCTCAGAGAGAGACTAGCTTTCGAGCCCAATAGGTCATGATGGTGGCGTTACACAGGAGAACTCGATTGAGACTATGTAAAACAGAAGCGAACCAACAAGTAGGAGTGCATAGTGGTACTTATCAGAACGACGCGAAGAAAGCCTTGCCAGCAGCAACTTCCTCCTTCTCGTACTCGCTCTCAGCGAAAACCTGCGAGTACATCAAGATCTCTACCTCATACGGCTGCGTCATGTAGAAGTCGCGATCCAGTTTAATCTGGGTCCTTGCTCTTCCATGGCTGCGCAACAAGTGTCAGAGCGAGCGCCGCGGTAATGGAATACTATGGGCTACTCACGTCTGTTCTAGATGGCTATACATCGACGACATCCCGCCATCGAATCCGCACCAGCCGCAATGGTAGTGATATACACGGTTAGAGTAGCCAGGATCCTGCGGATTGACAGGCTTCGCCAAGATGGCTTCCTCGAGGGCCCTCGCTTTCGCAGCGTTCTCTTCAGAGACCACCATCCAGCGGCCCGGAATTGGGTCGAGGCGGTTGTTCCGGTGCTCCGAGTCATGCGCGATCTGCCAGGAATAAAAGTTGGGTCGCTGATCAGCACATGCACCACTCTCGAAGGTCGAGGTCGTGACTCACAGCTCCTTTCCAGTCAAAGACGGTCTGTTTTGCATACGTCGCGCAACGTCGACACGACAACCGGACCGGGCACGCAGTCATTTCGGCGTAGGTCACAGTGTTCGGATCCTTACCGCAGAGAGAGATTACGTCGCGTGTGTACTGAGTCCCACAGTGGATACCACGGTACTTGACTCCCGGGAAGGGCGTGTCCACCTCCGTCCGCCCGACGTGTCTCTTGAGCCGTTGATCATACAAGTCCTTGCTCGGTTCGTTGAACCAGTAGCCGCACCGGTGTTCGGCGACCTGAGGCCACCGCAGCCGATCTCTATTGCACTTTGTGCATCTGAAGAATGCGAGGGCGAGCTGTAGCATCTCCGGAGACTCGGGTGCTACCTCGGATCCCACTGTGAGCTCCTTGCGTAGTAGGTCGATGACTTCGGATCGCCGCTCTTCGACCCATATATCAATGAGCTCCGGAAGGACCTCCTTGAGTTTGGTCTTGATGATATCCTTCGTGACATCCGCAGGGGTATGCTCTATGATGGTGCGGACCTGAGGCATGTAGGCGACGTCAGCAACCCCAGCATACAGACGCTCTTTGCTGTCTGCATGCTTCGCATGCTGGAGCGCGTAGACAACATGCTTGAGGGACGGGAAGCGACTATCAAGCCTCTCTGTGCGTTCCTTGCTAAGTCGGAGCGATTTGAACTTCTCCATATACTCTACCACAGAGTCCCGGATACTCGCCCATCCTGCCCACCGTCGTGAGCGATATCTAAAGGGTGGAGGGTGAAAGTGACTCACCCTTGTCGGTGAGCTTGGTTGCGCGAGATACGCCATCTAGACGAGCAAGACCATTGAAACATGCCTGATCCATACGGTCAAGCTCATCTCCGAATCCTTCCTGACGGAGCCTGGCGATAACCCTACGAAAGCGACTTCATTGATCAAGCCGATGAGGAGGAGCAGATGGAACACACGCTTTGTAACGACTCGCCTTGACGGAGTCCTTATCAGCCGCTGCACGTTCTTTGAGTTCCTGATGCCACCATTCAAGCTCCTCCGCAATCTGTGTGAAGAATGTAAATCAACCGTCTCGACTTACGTGTCGAGACCACGGAAACAACGAACCTCGTGAGATTGCGCTACAAACGTCTTACGATCCTCGATATATCGCATCTTCTGTTCCTTGGTCGTGAGAGCCTTCCACTCCTGTTTCACCTTATCGAGCTCGACTCGGTGGTACCGTCGACCGGGGCGGGCATACATGCTGTCAATTGTGCGAGCTCAGGATGGCCTTCTCAATTAGCAACACTAGCACACGCACCTTTGCATGAGTACGTACACCACAATATCATGTGGCTGTACTTCGAACTCCTCCAACCATATAGGCTTGAATGCG